GCACAGTTGAGTCTGACTCTTCGTGACCCCATGGACCACATCATGCCAGGCCCTCCTGCCTTCCGTCATGCTCCGGTGTTTGCTTAATATCATGTTCGTTGCATCGATAACTATGTCTAACCATCTTATTCTTTGCCATCCCCTTCTTCTTTTAACTTCAGTCTTTCCCAGAAAGCTGACAGGAGATGAAATGTCTCTGGTTCAGGATAGCTCATCTCTAAGAGATGAAGGGGTAGCTGTTCCTATTCTAGAGGGAAGTGGATTAGGACTGGCCACCGAGAGGGTGACAGACACTGTTGACTGCCTGACAAGGTCTAGAGGCCACAGGAGGAAATATGCAATCTATCACTAAAATCTGCCTCCGTTCCCGAGGACTGGAAGGCAGCTAATGTAATCCCCATCTTTAAAAAAGGTTCCAGGGGAGATCTGAGAAATTACAGGCTGGTCAGTATATCGTCGATACTGGGTAAATTGGTGGAATCCATTTTTAAAGAAAGAATTAGTAGGCACATTGATAAAAAAGAGCTATTGAGGAAGAATCAGCATGGATTCTGTAAGTGATCATCTTTTCTCACTAACCTGTTAATGTTCTTTGGGGAAATGAACAAACATTTGGACAAGGGGGACCTAGTAGATGTTGTTTACCTAAACTTCCAGAAAGCTTTTAATAAAGTTTCTCATCAAAGGCTCCTAAATAAACTCAGCAGTCATGGGATAGGAGGATAAGGCTTCTTGTGGGTTAAAAACTGGTTAATTAACAGAAAACAGAGAGTGAGTATAAATGGGCAGTTTTCACAATGGAAGCAGGTAAATAGTGGGGTACTGTAGGGCTCGGTACTTGGTCTGCTGCTTTTTAACTTGTTGGTTAATGTTTTGGAGTTTAAAGTAAGCAGTGAAGTGGCTAAATTGGTGGATGACACTAAATTGTTCAGATTTATGAGAACCAGGGAGGACTGTGAGGCACTCCAGAGGGATTTGTCAAGGCTGGGCTTAGAACAGATAAAAGAAAGTACTTCTTCACCCAAAGAGTAATTAACATGTGGAATTCACTGCCACAGGAAGTGGTGGTGGCTACAAGCAGGGCTTTTTTTGTAGAAAAAGCCCAGCAGGAACTCATTAGCATATTAGGCCACACCCCTGACAGCACATCTCATTAGCATATTAGGCCACACACCCCATGTTACCAGAAGTCTGGTCATCCAGCCACACCCACCTTTTGCTTCTTATTCTGTTTACCTTGTTTGACACACCCCTAATGTAGCCAATCCTAATGAGTTTCTGCTGTTGGGTGTGGCCTGTTATGCTAATGAGTTCCTGCTGGGTGTGGCCAACTCGGGAGCCAGCCGGAACTCTGTTCCTGTGCGTTCCTGCCCCAAAATAGCCTTGGCTACAAGCATAGACAACTTTAATAGAGGATTTGATAAACATATGGAGCGGAGGTCCATGAGTGGCTATTAGCCACAAGGAACACTATGTCTGGGGAAGTGATGTTCTGTATTCTTGGTGCTTGGGGGACCACAGTGGGAGGGCTTCTAGAGTTCTGGCTCCACTGGTGAACCTCTTGATGGCACCTGGGTTTTGGCCAAGCCACTGTGTGACACAGAGTGTTGGACTGGATGAGCCATTGGCCTGGTCCAACATGGCTTCTGTTATGTACTTAAGGCAGCTTAATGTGTGTGCATGTGTCTGCAAGGAGATTAAATCAGTCAATCCTAAAAGAAATCAACTGTGACTGTTCCCTGGAAGGCCAGATACTGAAGCTGAAGCTCAAATACTTTGGCCACCAAATGAGAAGGGAGCACTCACTGGAGAAGACCCTGATGCTGGGAAAGATTGAAGGTCAAAGAAGAAGGCGACAGCAAAGGATGAGATGGTTAAAAAGTGTTATCGATGCAACGAACATGAAATTAAGCAAACTTCAGAGCACGACAGAAGTCAGGAGGGCCTGGAGTGATGTGGTCCATGGGGTCGCAAAGAGTCGGACTTGACTCTGCGACTGAACAACAACAACAAAAATGTGTCACTGTTAGTTCATACCCAGAAGTTATGTCATGGCTTTGCACACCAATCTAGAAATTCCCCACATTTCAATGGTTTTTACCATAGAGGTGTGGGGGATTCCTAGAGCATCACACAGTGCCAATTTTCATAGTCTCCGCCCCACCCAGTGTTCATACTAGCAATAGGCTCCTGGCTGCCAACCCTAACTCCATTTAAAAAGGTGCAACAAATAATTGATAAGTAAATAGTACAATCTAAACATACAGATACTTTGAGACCCAGAAAACCTGGTTGAGGTGTCTTACAATCTCCAGGAAACCTGCTTTAGGCAACTTACAAGTAAAACATGAGAAAAACACCAAACAGGAAAATACGTTAAGAAGTAACAAAATATTAATAAAGCCAGAAAAAGTTCAGTAGCTTTTCTGTAGTACAGAAAAATATAGTAGTCATGGAAAGGAGGAAAATCAGTTGCTACCATCTAGCATAGCAGTAGTTTTGATGTCATGTGTATTAATCAGAGCCTCAGGAACATTTACAAGAGATGAGGGACAACATTCTTCTCTGGTTTGCTTTTCAACTGACAGTTTTCAATTTCTAAAAAAATCACTGTTTCATAAAATTAATAACAATAATGGATACCATTGGTAATAGTTAATAAGCTTCCGGCGTCATATCTTTTAGCGTTTTGTTACTGTCCATGGGGTTTTCTTGGCAAAAATACTGGAGTGGGTTGCCATTTCCTTCTCCAGTGGATCACGCTTGGTCTGAGTTCTCTACTGCGGCCAGTCCGTCTTGGGTGGCCCTTCATGGCATAGCCCACAACTTCATCGAACTACGCAAGCCCCCTCGCCACGACAAGGCGGTGATCCATGAGGGGGCTGGTGAAGTCGCATAGATTTAAAATATATAACTGGACCAAAGTCGTGCAACAAGTTTCCATGGCAAAGTCTTCCAAATTCTGGTACAACACTCTAACCACTACACCACACTTGCTGATTCTTAAATCAGGGAGGGCAGCAAAAACACATATTCATACAATAATCCAAATAACATATCAAGTTTTGAATTCATCTGATTGGCTTTAGAGGGTAGCCATGTTGTTCTGCAGTAGAACAACTAGATTTGAGTCCAGTAGCACCTAAGAGACCAACAATGAGTCAGTCAGTCAGGCATTTATTACGGCAACAAGCCATAGAACGGACCAACAATATTTTTGGGATATAAGTTTGCTAGAGTCAATTGGCTCTGCGGGCCAACACAATACCAATTATAAAATTCTTATTTCTATGGAATTTTAAAAACTTCCTGCTTGGAGCCACTGAGTATAGAGACATTCTCCACCATGCACGGTGCATTATCCATCCTTTCCCTCCACCCCTTTCCAAGTGCAGGCTCCGCGTGCAGGGAGTATGAAAAAAAGCTCCAAGCCCTGCAGAGTCCAACATAGAAAACACTTTTATGCCACTATACCCAATGTAACTTTATATTTCTACATCTCCTGTAGCATCTAAAGATTAAGTGTAAAGTGCTCCCTGTATTATAGTTACAATTCATCACTTGTACTGTTGTGCTCCTGAGTCTAGAATCCAATAATCAAACACCAAACTTTCCTTGGGGAAATGTCACTGATTAACTTCTTGAACAGTAGGACTTCAAACACTAGCACTGGATGTCATACAGAAAAAAACAGCAACTACTTTGTGATGTCTGAAGCATCTGAGAATAAATGTTGGGTGTTCTAATTACTTTCTTCCACTAAATTTGTCTGCTTCATCTTGTACAGTTTGTTCCTTTGCTTCCAAGTGGGGCCTAAAAAGGACACTTCACTTTCTTCTAAAGAAGATGTAACTTTAATAGTCCTATACTGGTGCAGAGGCTCTGTAGTTTCCCCCTATTTTTTATTTGCTGCATTTCTATATCACTTTGCTTCATCACTCAAAGCAGTTGTCGATTATATCAGATAGAACCAACCAGAAACTTGACATATTAAAGCTCACTGTAATGAAATGGGGCTGCCACTTCTAGCAGCAATTCCAAATATGTAGCTCACTCTTTGGACAAAACCATCATGAAAAACTGGGTGTATCACTAAAGAATTTTTTTTAAGTTACTCAGAATGACCAAATTTTATCTCCATTTGTATAAAACCAAACTTTTTGTCCAACTTTCTTAAATTGTAAAAGGTAATCACAATGCCTAATTAAGATTTATTCAATGTTGTGCTTGCTGTTTCAAGATATTTGGATAAGTCTTTGCACTAGATTAATATCTGGTGATTAATAGGAACTTTATTACTGCTTAAGTTGAGCCTGTTCCAATTTTTTTGTTGTTTAGGAGATCTGTGATTGGGTCTTCCATTTTGTATGTGTGTGTTTAATACAGCTTCAAGCTGCTCCAAACTTGATTGGAGCTGTGGTATTGGGGGAAATAAGCTGTTTTACCAATATAAATCCACCCCCTCAAAAAAAAAAAAAGTGCCCTGTGTTTTCTCCTCACAAGATGTTTTCTCCTCACAAGAGATAAAACAGCTTCAGAAGCATTGATATAGATCAAGTACAATGGTATGAGGGAAAAGGGCTAAATACACTTCTTCCCAGTGCCACGGCTCAGAAATAATTTGCAGCTCCCTGAAGCAGTGTTAAATTAAAATCAGGAAATCCAGACGGACTTCTTGTGTAATGTGTAGTTGGTCTGTGAGCTGTCAGTGTTAAACATCTCCATTGTATTGGAGATGTGGCTTGACCTACAGAATCAGTTAATGTCAATTTCCACTCAAAATTAATTTGTCATCTTGCCCAGTGATGTGTGTTAAATATTTTTATGAAGTATTCCACATTTATGAAGAAATTAGAGAAGATTGCAGGTAGAAAATATCAGGTAATTAGTCAAAATGACGTATTAGCATTACTATGCAAGCTAATATATATTTCTGTAGCGTTTTCTCTGGAGTTTCAGGGAAGTCCTAATTACTTCTGTTTAAAAATTTCTCCTGGCAGGTATATTTACATCCCAATGGGAGGATCTCACTGCAGCATGTTTAAGATGTTGTTTTCCACAGCAATCACATTTGCTTTTGTAAGCTATTGGCATGGTAGTCATAGCTACCTTTGGTCCTGGGCTGTGCTTAATTGGCTTGGAATAACTGCTGAAAATGGAGTGAAGAGGCTGGTTTCTCTTCCAGTTGTCCATGAGTTCATTGTAAGTATATTTCCTTTCCCTGTCCATAAGATGTCCAGTTGCATTAAGGAATAGATTTTAATCTTGTAGCTAATTCACTCTGCAATTATTGGCCAAGCTATTGTCTGAAAGTGTTATGTGTTGTCAGCATATACACAATGAAGTTTGCAACTATTTACGTTTATTTAACTGTTTGGATTATATTTTGCTGTGTTACAAATATGGCTCATTATGATACCTTATCTACATACTAAAAAGCTTAAGGACCTAGTCTAATAGCACGTGCCACAGTGATGATGAGCCATCATTGCTACGAGTACAATACAATCTAGAACATTTGAATCCTTTGTATACTGTGTCAGACCATTGGTCTATCTGGACAGATACACGGACTGGCAAAGGCACTCCAAGGTTTCAGAAAGAGTCCTGCCCAACATCTAGTATCCAAAATGCTTTCTTAAAATGCCAGCATTAGGTATTGCACATGGGATTATCCTTCTGTTTATTCATTTAGTTTATTATACTCCCTTTTTCTCCCCAATGGGTACCCAAGCTAGCTTCCAACAATGTTTTCCTCTTCTCCATTTTATCCTCACAACACCAATGCTCTCAGATAAGTTAGGCTGAGAGAAAGTGACTGGCCCCTGGTCAGTCCATGGCAGAGTATGTATTCAAAGCTGGGTCTCCTAGATCCCATACTGACACTCTGTCCACTTCATTATGCTGGCTCTGCCATATCTCTGATCTCTGCCCCTCCCAATTCCTTTTATTTGAGAATCAGTCCTCTTTAGTACTCTTCTTTAAAAATCACTGGTTATAAAATTGAAAACCATGATAACAACCAGGAACATGTACTCTTGTTCAGTCTTTTCCAGGCACGATTGAGTATGATAAAAGCCTGTCCATATGTATGCATCTAACTTGACACTTCCCTTATACTGTGAAAATAGTGGTATAGATTTTCTCTCCAGAACCAAACAAAGGTTATTTATTTATTTATTTATTTATTTATTTACATTAGACTTGATATCCCGCTCTTGTCCCATGGCTAGGGTCTCAGAGCGGCTTACAGGGTTTCTGGTGCTAATCACCTGTGTTCCTAGCTAGGGCCACAATGTATGAAGGGGGGGTGGGACAACCTACCAGCACCCCCTCTGTGGTGGCTATTGCTGTTTCTCCGTTGGCTCAGCATGGTCGGGTCTCCTGGTCCAGCGGGTTGTTCTTTCTCTGGCGTTCTCTGGCGTCTCCAGCGTTCAGTGGTGGCGATCTCCTCCTTAGTGAAGAAGAGGGCCAATATTAAAACCTATCTAATAAAAGTGGGAAAAGATACATGTATTTATTAATAACAAATTTTAAAACATATACAGGGGCCCATTTACAACAATTATATATATAAAACATTACAATACCAAGGGCTTAAAAGCTTGACCTTACACGTTTCGGCCAAATAGGCCTTACTCAGAGGTCATATATATGTGGCAAAATGGCTAATACATATATTCACATACACACAATCAAGAATATATACAAAGTATAAATTCAATAAGGACCATAAAGTAAATTGTTCAAAAATAAAATCACCAGGCATAGGGTCAATATGCACATAAGGCCTTTAAAGTGCTATCACTAGCCCAGTGATTATAAAGTAGACTTGTGGTCCAAAAATTTCCTTCTTTGATTGTGTTGCCACAGTATTCACAAGTAAAAAGCAGTGTGTGGCAACACAATCAAAGAAGTCTTGGGGAAGGGTTCCATGTCAGGTGCCCAGTCTGGGTGGAGGCGATCCAGCCTGGTGGTCAAGTGGCGACCCAGGAGCAGTGTCATGCCTGCCCCTGATGGCGAACCTGACAGCCAGGAGCACGTGGAGTTGCACCACAAGCCCCTGAGGAACCTCCAGAAGCAGAGACTTACAGTCAGGAACTGGCTCCTGTAGCAGAAGAGTCTCTAAGTCTGGAGGAGGATAGAGCCTCCCAAGAAACACCTGCGCAGGATCAGACTCTGCTCAATCCCAGCAATTCACCACCCGACTCCCCGCCAGCTGTCACCAGGCTCCGGAGTCAACGGAGACAGGAGCTGAACAAAAGACGCCGGGATGCAGTGATGCAGTGATTTCAGCTCATACTTTTATTTAAGGTGAAGAACAAGACGAAAGTACCGCCTCCCAGGCTGGTTTATATTCCCAGTAAACCCACACCCCAAAACACACCCCACACCAGTGATAGGTTATTTTCATTAGCCATGCGTTCCATAGGTCCTCGCTAGGATCCTAGCCCTCGGTTAGGCAGTGGCCAGGATCTGCTCATGCTGCTGTTCTCAGATGCAAAGCTCAGCGGCCCGGCCTCACACGCTGTTGACTTCAATACGTAACAGGGGAGATGGGCCCTACCTGCTGCAAGGCTCTCCCGAGGGCTGAAGAATCGTCAGGAGGTAAACGGCTGCACCTGCTCCTCCGCTGATCTTCTCCTGACGGCTGAAGAAGGCTGGTCAGGCAAATGGCTGTTCGGCTGCTGAAGTAAACTGTTCAGATTGGAGTTTTGGCAGGAGCTAACTTTGTGGGCGGGACTCAGGCACATCTTCTGATGGGCAGTTCAGGCAGCCAACTGATTTTGGCAAGCATAGAATGTTGTCATGCGAAAACACGTTTATATATAAGGACAGGGTTACTTCTGGTAAAGCAAAATGTCCATAAATTACACACTTTGAATATTACCTGTCATTGAAATGGATGGACCAGTCCTTGCTTGCAGAGAACTCTGTGAGCATACTAACGTTTCAGACCACTTGATTAAAATGTATAAATGGCTCCAAGAGTCTCTATCGGGTAAGCCTATCAGAAGGTTGCATTATACACTAAATTCTCCACACTTGTGTCCAAAGTGAGGGGTTGTAAATTGTGTTGTAATACATCTTGAGTCCTATGAAGAAAAATGGATTAGAAATGCTGCAAATGAAGAAAAAATGTCTGTGGAGCTATATGCTTATGTTCAATGGCTTATTGCTTATATTCAGTGGCTTGTTTTTAATTGTAAATCATCTTGAGCAGGACTCCAAAGAAGCAAAAAGTCTAAATAAATAAAAATAATTACATTTAAAAATAATTACATTTTGGTACTGAAAATGTTTATTGTTTTAATGTTTTAAACTTCTTATTGAAGTTCATAATGTTTTAATATTACTATGAGCTGCTTTAAGTATTTTTAAAGGAAAGGTGATAAATATTCTGAATAAATAAAATTTCCCATGCTTTTTTGGTTATGTGGCTTGTATCCATGTCTTAAGCAGCCCTCTGCAGAGTAGAAATAGAACAAGTATGTTTTTGCCATCACTTTTCAATAAAACACAAAGAATAAATATAAGCTCCACTCTCCTGCACTGAGCAGTGTACAAAGCAAACATCAAGCAAAACTACCTGAAGATGGCTCATGTAGAGCATTGGTTGAAATCCATCTCAATTGGGAAAAAAAGGTCCCTAGTGGTAAACTTTATGATTTCAACTTTAGATGAAAAGGTCAGTCATCCTCCCATGACACCTACAAGTGTGATATTTGATTCTTTCATGAATCTGGGAGGATTATTGCTGAGAGAAGAGCTACATATAAAGTTTCATTTGCAAATGTGCGACTGTGCCCATGTTCTCTCTACGTACAGTCTAATACTTTTGGTAGCATTTCATGCTGATAGCAAACTGTAGTGTTCTTGGATATTTTTGCTATAATGTATGTTCAATCTACACTTTTATACAGAAGCTTCTTGTTTAAAAACAACAACAGACTAACTCCAAAACCTTAGAAGAATATGGTTATCATAATGCTAAACAAGTTTCTGAACGTACTTTAACTTTTGCAGAACTGTTTGTATCATTTTTTTCTGCATTGCCATATATCATCCTGGAGGCAATGCAGTACAAAGAGTCTTCTATTAGTTCTGACTTCAGTGAATGGACTGATTTATAGGTACTTGAAGAACAAATAGTTTTGGTATTTCTCTGGGCTGACCAATGTCTTTCTTTCACTCATAAATTACTGCTTCCTCCGTGGCAACTCAGGTAGAATACGTATGCAGAGACTTCCATACATTTTAGGCTTAGAATGTATAAGATGTTTGGAGTTTGGCACATAGGAAGCTAAAGATGGCTATAAAATACTTTGAGAGTCAGCTTCACCTGCTTAAATGGAAATGGGCATTTGAACAAGGCACTGAAAAGAATTGTTTTTATTTCCTTTATATTTGGTAGTTTCCTTTATATGGTTGGCAGTGCATACAAAGATTCAGTCACATCAGAGACAACCACATGTTCTGATGATGGCAGCCCGGAACTGAAATGCACTCTGCCAATGAGCCTCTGTAGTCCCAGTCCCAGATAGTTCCCAAGTCTGTGGGTTAGTAAAAGACTTTCCACTAGGTGATTCCGTTGTAGATGGAACAAGTCACAAAGCACCTCATGATGAACTCCATCACATGGTTGTCATGTATTTCACTTAGATATGCTGCTGTTTTGTGGTTCTGTTTTGAGACTTTGTGACTTTTATGGTGACTTTTATGACTTCTATGGTAAATATCAGAGAAGTGGTATGCCAATATTTTAAGATAAATTACATAAATATTTTTCTCATAGTACATTTGTACTCATACTGTCAGAAAAACTCCTGAATAGTTTGAATTCCACAGAACATCTGTAAGGATGGTGCCCTTCAGTCCTTCTTACAAGTTCTAGCATTTTGACAGAAAATAATTATGTGGAATATCTTCTCACCAGTTAGCCGCACTTCCTGCTTAAATTCTAAGCTGCATTCTGTTATTTTCTTCTTTGTTTTTGTTACATGTGTTGAATCTATAGCAAAATATTTGCCAGTGTTTCTCACCAGAGCTGTGCTTACTCACACTCTAGATTGACTTCCAAGAGTGGCAGACATTCAATTTATATACATTTCCAGCATGGAAGTAAATTATTATGGTATTTTTATGCCCATGAGGGCCATTCAAGTGAAGTTTTAAGCCTTCTATTTCCATCTTCTCACAGTATCACCTGGGTGTTTATGACCAGCTACCTGTTTGCCTTGTAGTGTTATAAATACTCTTTGGGGCATATGCCAGAGTACCTGTGGAGTTACATGAATTAATGCAACCATTAAGGACAGGCATACATTGATTTCTTTGTATCCAGGTATAGCATGTAAAATTGCCATTTTATCCTGTCAGCAGCCATGCATCTGCAGGTAGCATCTTTAATTTCCACTTTTAGTTTTTCATAGCCTTTTGTAAATGGTTTGGGAATACTTTTAAAAAAACCTATTAAACACAGGTGCTGCCTAGATTTTTGTGAAAGCATAATTGTAGGTACAAATTTCAGTCATTTTGGCCTTCAGGTAAATATTTGACCATTATTTTAAAGAATAAATTAACCCACTTTGTATAAATATAATGCTTTTTGTTATCTAATTTGTCACACCCAAATGGATACCTGAATGGGCATCACTGTAATGGGCTATAATAGGTATTCAGCATTAGTAATATGTTTTTGAACTCTTTAGTAATCAGACAGTGCAATTCTTCTCATGCTTACTCAGAAATATGTCCCATTTTATTCAGTGGTGTTTACTTGTGAGTAAACACACACAGGATTGCACTGCCTCATTATTAAATCTGTGTGTGTTCTTGGGTATAGGTCCACAATGATTTAAACAACATGACTAAATACCTGTGATTATACTGTGCTAGCAGTAAGCCCCTACACGTTTTGTGGCACTGCAATTGCTGGACTTACACTGCACATGTCTTATGGGGTCCCAAAGTTAATTAAGCCTTGGAATTCAGAAGTGGGCTAGCATGCTTCATCTTCTGTCCCTATGTTTTTTGTATGAAAATTCAACACAAGATTCACTGATACATCCCATCATCACTAACACAAGTGTGCTTATCGGCTTACTTTGAATTCTCACTTTGGTCACACCCGATGTCAAACCTGGGGGACAGATATGTGGATGGAGAGGAAGTACTTAATCTACTTTCAGTCCTTGTATCCCAGATCCATTTTTACATCTGTACCAAATCTCTGAATATGAACCTGCTGCACACTCTAAGCCAGACAGTCACTTTTTATAATATTCAGTACCAGCCAGTGCTGATGATAAGATGCTTCTAGTAGTTGTTTGACATAACAGTTGGTCTGATCACATGCATGACCTTCCCCATGTTTGGAAGCCTGGAAGTTAATAGTAAACTATGGCTGGCTCAAGACTCATTTTGAAAATCAAATAAAACAGCAGAAAGAGGGCAAAATTTGTTTCCAAACTGCACTCAGTACTAATGTATTCAGCTGCAATCAATGTCAAGCATATAATGTTTGAATGTTTTATCAATATATAATATTGAAAGCTTCACCACATGGCTAAAGGACATTGTGAGAGTAATAAATTATAACATAGGCTGCTGACTTTAAAGTAATGGAAGTATCAACAGTAATGGTTGCAAGTATTAAGCTTTCACATATATTATTTTTCCAGTACAACTTTCAAATTAAAAAGCACATGCTAATTCAGTGAACTTGACTTGAGTTCTTAAGCATTTTAAAGAGATGTAAGATATTTAAAAGGGCATTCAGAAAGCCAGGGAGCAGAGTGGGAAGCCAAAATGGCCCAGGTGTGAACTAAACTTTGAAAGCTTGCTATTAATATATTCAAGATTACATTGGAAAGAAAGAAAGAAAGAAAGAAAGAAAGAAAGAAAGCCTTGTATCAGAAGTGTATTTTGTTTGATTATGTTTTATGCCTCAGTTATATCACCATTTCCAACATGGGTCAAACAGTCACTTTTTGTATCAAAGGGGGTTTTGTGCTTTCTGCATGGCTATTTAGTAGTAGATTCATTTAATTGCTTATGATGGTAATCACAGAGTGTATAGAACCAGTGAGTCAGCTAGAAATGCTGTGGAGTGAAACACCCTAAATATCACCCATGGGAAACAATAGTTGGTGCTGATAAATTTTGCCTAAATTAACTCTTTCTGTTTCCTGACTATTCTAGCCTAACGTCCTTCAAATATGATGTCATTTCCAAGGTGATCTTTACCAATTCTTCCTGGAATCATGATGTAGTGTTCTAAAGCTACTGGAGGACAGTGATAGTTTCTCCCCACCCCTCCAACTTCACCATCCCACCAGCAGTTATCTGATATCAAAAGAATTTCTATCAAATTTCCCAATCTTAAATAATTGTTAAATTCAATGTAAGCTTCCTTTTTATTTCTTTGCAGAGCCATGTTTTGTCGGCAAGAGCTCGTCAACGGCTTCACGCAGCTCTGGCATCCATTTCAACTACACTACTGATTTTTTCCAACCTCATCTTTCTTGGGGGAAATGAAGTTGGGAGAATCTACTGGAACAGGATCTTCTGGGAAGGCAAGTCATTTCAACCTAAAAGTGTGTGTGTGTGTGTAAGTTTCATTAGAAATACCTGCCAGATAAGGCATGTAGCATTACTCTCTCAGAGGATACATGGAATCACATATGGACATCTCCCCCATTCCACTCTAGAATTACATCTATGAAGCTACAATCATTCAAAATATTATCGCACTGGTACCTCACTCCTTGCAAGGTAGCCTGCATGAACCCATCATACAACCCAAAATGTTGGAAGAAATGTGGTATCATAGGAGATTATACACACTGTTGGATATTCTGTCCCAAAATTCTCCCCTTCTGGAAATAAGTAATAGAGCAGATCAAGTCATTTAGTGATATAGACATCACCCCTTCACCTGAACATATATTTTTGAACAGTTGGGCTACGGACGATGTTAGTTCCTCTATCATTGAACGAATCTCAATAATGCTATTTGCAGCTAAGACTGTCATTGCCACACATTGGAAAATGACAATGACACTCACTCTTTCTCAATGGCATAAAAAGCTGTGGGATTTATATATAATGGCTAAACTCTCGGATAATCTTAACCGTTTTGATAAATGTCCTACTCGCACTAATTGGCTCCCTATCCTGAATTACCTATCCAATCAACAGGACATCCCCCCAGTGATGGATGCCTTGTGGCTTTGGTAATGAGGGTTACTTAATTTCAAAGGTAAAGAACAGATAAATCCTGTGGGGTTATCATCTACAATATAGCTATTAATATCACTATGTAATTTTACCACCTAAAAAGCAAAGATGAATGCATACCTGTAAATCACTCAATTCATGTTGTAAACTGTTGCTTACTTGTTTTTACTATTGTTACAAATCTTTTTGAAGCTTTGTTGTTAGCTTTTAATATGTATTTGGACATGAAAACCTAATAAAAAGTATTATACAAAAAAAAAGAAATACCTGCCAGAATCTGATTCTGGCAACCCTGAAAAAAGTTCCCTCAGCTGAAGCTTCACTTGCACTTTTACTGTCTTTTCCCCCTCCAAATAGTCATCTTTGCTTTTAGAATGGAGACAACAGTAATACAACAGTTTTGTGGATGGATACCGTGCTTTTCTAACGCTTGGTGTCCTTCAGCTTCAACATTTGTTATTTATTTCTTTGATTTGATTAAAGCATATTTAAGTTGCACTTTCTTCCAAAGCAACATTTGAAGTGGCATATAACAACAACAAAACCCCTAGCACAAACAGTAATAAATAGTCATAACAAGTCTTAAAAGTCGCTGCCACATAAATAAATCAGCAGCAAATAAAGTATTGTAAGCTATACACTAAGCCAGAGTGAAATGCTGTTAAATTTGTTATTAGTCGTCAAAGATGACGCTGAGGAGAGAACCACACAGGCTTCTTGGGGAGGCATGTTCCACAGAGTAGTGCCACCACTGAGAATGAAGATGTACCCATTATACGTTCATTTACTTCTGAGATTAAGGCAGAAACATATTCTAAATGAAGTCTTAAAAATTCAGGTTCTAAGATGAGAGAAACTGTGCATATTGAAAAATCTGATTTTGGCTGTTGACATTTAAATTTATATAGTTTTGTGGATTGATGCAAGTTTGTATTTCAAGGTGTGCAGAAGTTTTTAATGTTCAGTCCTACAACTCAGATTTAGGCACAAAAAGAGTCACCCTCCCTCCAGTTGTTTTTAAAAGAGATATCAACCGCTGACATGGGTCAGAAAGCTAGCAAGGAGACATGAATATTTCTTTGTGGAAACTAAGCAGAGTTTAATGCCTTGGTGGGGTTAACATTTTGAAAAACATTTTAGCATCAGTTGCTGAAATGATGGGGGAGGAAATAGGAATAGGCTTTGTAAAAACAATTTTAACCATAAAACACCCTTCCCACGGCAATCAAAGTTGAAGAACCTTACAATGCAGTCCTAAGAACAAACACACTCTTCTGAGCTCATGTACTTGAATGAACCTAGAAAGGTAAATCTGTTTAGGACTGCAGTGTCAGTTGCTGGAATATTTAATCGTAATTGGTTCCCCCCCCCCCGGAGTTCCAGAGTTAAGGTTTGGATTTTTAAATGGAGAATATTCGTCATCTTAGGCAGAGTGAGGTGACCCGCCTCAGGCAGCAGCATTCCAGTAGTATTAACCAGAATCAAATAAATATTGAGTGGATTATTATATTTTTGTATATTCATAGTAGGGTATTTTCTGTTTCAGACTGTATAGTGTCTTGGGTTGTCTCCACATGTATTCCTCCTAACACAGAATTAAGTGGGCCCTCCTTTAGGGTTGCCAGCCTCCAGGTGGGGCCTGGAGATCTCCCACTTTTACAACTGATCTCCAGCTGACAGAGATCAGCTCCACTGGAGAAATTGGCTGCTTTGAAGGGTGGACTCTATGGCACTGTAGTATGCTGAGGCCCCTCCCCTCCCTAAACCCCTCCCTCTTCCGAATCCACTTCCAAAGTCTCCAGGTATTTTCCAACCCAGACCTAGCAACCCTATCATCTGTCCTAGTTCCAGGTGCACGCAATTAATGTTGGCACAGCAATTATTTGATTGCGGAGAATAGGCCTAGTGTGAAACCAAACCAGCTCTAAGTCTGTCACTCTCCTGCCCACCTCCCTACAGTCACTGTGGTGTCCTATGGCTTTTTTGCCCTTTGAATACTCTGCCATAATGTTTGCAATGGTGGCTTAATTGTAATGTAGAATAGGAAAGGTATGTACAGACTGAAACCTAAAGCACTTGGTAATTCAAAATGTTTATGTTGGCTTTGAAGGTGGGGAAGTCACCAGCGATACAGGAGGAAGGTTGTCATGACGTTGTAGCTTTTTGGTTAGCTACTGGACTTCCACCAGAAAAATAAGTGCTTTTTGTCCAATTCCTTTAGGTTAGGGTTGCCAGGTCCTGCCTTCTTCCCTGCAGGGGGATCTTCAGGCTTTGCCAGGAACTTCAGCCACGCACACTTTGCGTAAGTGACGCCATCACGCCAGTGATGCTCTAGTTTTGGGGCAAAACTCTTTTTTTTGAGCCAAAATTTACCATAGAGTTTTGCCCAAAAACTAGAGCATTGCCATGTGACATTGGCAGTGTGATGCCATAACTTTCGGGTGACATCATCGTGTCGTGTTTTGGGGCATTTGCGGTTGTGGAGCCCACAAAAGTGGGGAAAACCTCGCCCAGACCAGGGGCTGGCAACCTTACTTTAGGTACTAGCCATGTTGTTGCCCACGCATATGTAGCATTTAAAAATAAAACATTGGTAACTAGTGCCACATCCATCCCCCTGTTTAAACATGTGAAATTGAGTTTTGAAGCCAGGCATAATTGTGAATTTGCTACTGGTTGTGAACATTCATTCCTTTTTTTCCCTTTAAATGCTCTGCCATAATGTTTGCAATGGTAGTTTAATTTTAATGTACAACAGAGCAGGCATTTTATATTCTTTTTTCTATGTAATTAGGTGCATGATTTGGAGCAATTTTAGTGTATCATTTTCAAGAAGTTGGAAATAACTGTAATGAAAAATTTGTTGTGAAAAACTTATCTTAGGGGAACACTTCAGAAAGGATGAAGTGGTACATAAATACAGAAACATTGTGGGAAAGTAGGAAATTACTTATTGGCTTCTGGTCCAGGATAATACCTGAGATCCACTTAATCCAAGTAGTGTATTACCAGCATCTGAAATGATTATTATTTTCTCAAGTACCAGCAATGTGCCTGCTGTTGTACAAACATGGAATGTAAAACAGGCCCTTGCTCAAAAGGGCTCCTGATCTCGGAAATACAGATTCTTAACAATTATTCAAAATCATTCCAAAGCAAGAGATCATAGCATAATCACCTCTGTAAATATGCCCAAATTTGTAATAATTAGAGCAAGCATCTAGTCCTCATGAAGTTGTTTGAATACCTCTTCCCAGAACAGAGACCATAAACAATGGCATAATTTAGTGTTTTAGAATAATGGAGCTGGTAGATTGCTGAAGACCCTGACCTATATAGCCTAGGCTAGGCCAGGCTCCTCAGATCTCAGAAACTAAGCAGAGTTGGCGCTGGTTAGTATTTGGATGGGAGCCCTCCAAGGAATACCAGGGTCATGATGTGGAGGCAGAAAATGGCAAACCATCTCTGAACATCTGTTGCCATGAAAAACCCACAGGGTCACCATAAGGTAGCTGTGACTGACAGCACTTTCCACGACTACGAGATTGTTGAAGAGATAAAATAACAGCTCCTCCAAAGAAGGTAACAAAAATAATTCTGCAAACAGTAGGGAAAATATGTTCAGCCTCCACGTAGTAAGAATTCGTGACCACTGACTTACTGGTGGCTGCTTTGCAGCCTTGGGGCTGGGGCTCCCACCTGAGGAAGGGCTCCCTTAAACTTATTCTTGCTAGAGAATCATGAGATATCCAATCCTCAAATAAACAGAACTGTTGGTATGATAATAAATGTAAGAATATGAAAAAGTTCTTACAAAAGAAACATCATGAATTTAGAGCATCCCGGGATCAGATTATTTTGATGGAGCTATTTAGATTTTAAAAATGAGTATAAGAGCCTGTTGAAAGAGAAGGGCTCCACATGTTGCAGCTGCAGTGTAATGCTCACCAGGCCACAGCTGTTTCCGGGGCCTCCAGGTGGCTGGGCCGATGTCAGGGCAGCTTGCCAACTGCTAGGTGTGTACTGGCTCCTCCCCCTGGGCTGGGGGTTGGCCCAGGCAAGCATCAACTTCTGCCTGGCCCTGCATCTCCCCTATTTGAAGCCCAGCAGCTGGTGCCCGGTCCACTTTGTCTCTTTAGACAGTTTCTCCCTCCCTCCCTCTATATTTTGGTTCTCTTCTGGGTAATTTCATTGAAATTGTTCATTGTCACGGCTTTATGGTGGTTTTAGGCACTGGGCTGGATCCATTTGAGGGGGACTCTGTGCCTGCATGCCCACCTCCCCGGGTGGGAACTCCCTTTAAAGAGTCTTGGGGGTCAAACCATTTAGCGGCATG